TTTGGGATTTGGGATTTGGGATTTCGGCATTTGGGATTTCGGCATTTGGATTTTGAATTTGGGTGGCAGGTATAGTACAAGTATGAGTCTTTCTATTTATTAACAATATTATATAGGTAAGTAATTTTTTAACCAGTAAGAAATTTCTTAACTATATATTCTACCATTTTTCCAGTAAATACCTTTTCTGTATATATCCATATATCTCCATAATTTACATGTATATTTTCTAATCATAATTAAAGAAATTGAATCTAATATTTCAAGAACAGTTTTTTGTAATCCATTTCAAGTATAATTATAATGTTCTCTAGTATATTTTTTATAACACTTTAATACATTTCTGTATAATTTAATTTACAATAATACTTGAGATAAAATATATATTTTTGAAGTTTAGATTTTTGTACAAAGAAATTAAAGTTGTAAAGACAAAATTCAATATGTACAACATTCAGTTTTATTTACATCTGTAATTTTTGTTTTTTCTTTACATAATTTAAAATTAACTAATAAATTATCTTTCTATAAACCTCTTTCAGTTAATACTTGTTTCATGCTTTTGGGTTGATTTGAATATTTAGGATAATTAAATGGAAAAACCATAGATTGTAAAATATTATTTGATCTATAATAAGTATTATGTATATGTGATTACTTTCCTTCTGAATTTAAATTCATTTTAAAAATATTCAATTTATCTTTTGTCATTACACCATGATTTGTATTATTATCAAATATAAAAATATCTATTACATTGGAATATAAAAGTTTAAAAATAAGTATTGCAACATTAACTACTTGATCTATAAGGTGTTCTGAAGTTCACTAGCCTTCTTCATTTTTACTGGAACAAAGAAATTTTCTTATATCTTTAAAAATATTTGGATAATTTGCTATAAGATCATCTGTAAATCTAAGTCTTCCAATTGTTTCTAATAAAAAATCACTGATCATTAAAGATTTTTCTTGTCCTGTTTCCAAAGTGAAGGCTCATTTAATGGTACCTAAACTATGGGACAATTATTATTACATAAAAAAAATATTTATCATGTGTAATTAAAATATATAATTTTTCTTCTTCTTTAAATTCTGAAAGAACCATTTACATTTCATCACCAATAAATGCAAGTATTAACTTTTCATACTCTTTTATAGTTTTTAAAAACTATTATCTATATTGTAAGACATTTTCACATTCATGCTCATCAAAATAAATATCTTTTTTTTGTGATTGTGAAACTAAATCCAATTTACAAAAACAGTTTTTATTGATATTGATCTATTTATATTTATTTGAGAAAAAATTTTTATTTCAATAAATATTTTATAATTTTATGATATTGTTTTTTCATAATTAGCTCAAATATAAGTTAAATTATTGTTAATTATATCTTTATTATCAATAAATAATTTGATTTTTTAATGATAGCTTTGTAATGAAATAGATAATAAATTATTTTTAATTTAATAATTTTTTAATTTTTGAATTATCCTGAATCTATATATTTCTTTATTATAAATTTTTTTGCAACTTTTTTACTTGCTTCAATTTTTATTAACCTATCTTTTTTCCAGTATTTAAAATAAGTATATAAAGATTTATATCTCAAATAATCATATGCTGTTAATTTTTTTTTAATTATTTAAAATAATATATTCTAATTGTTGAAACTTTAAATTAAAATTATTATTATCAATATTTATTGCATTATCTATACTTTCTAATTTAATTATTTTATTAACTATTTCATCAATTGTTTCATCAACTGTTTTATCAATTGTCTCATCAATTATTTCATTAACAATTTCATCAACAGTTTCATCAATTATTTCATCAACTTGAATTAAATTATCTATGTTAATTAGATCAAAATAATTAAAAAAATCTGATTTTTTACTTATATTTTATAATATATCATCATTGCTTTCATTTTTATAATTTTTATTTTCATCTATATTATCTTTATTTTTATTTATTTTATCTATTTTTTATATTCCATTTCACCAATTTTATTATCTGTTTCATTATAATTATTGCTATTATTAAATCATCTGTTTTATCATAATCACTTTATTTCACTATCTATTTTATCAATTTTGTCTATTTCATAATTAATTTTGTTATATTTATTTATTTCACAATCAATTTTATCCATTTCACTATTCATTTTATTATCTTTACCCATTCTATTATTAATTTTATCATATTTACTTATTTCATCATGTCTACTTGTTTCGTTATGTCTATTTGTTTTACCATTTATTTTGTTATATATATCTATTTCATTATCAATTTTGTCTATTTCATCATCTATTTCATTATTTTTATTTATTCCACTATTAATTTTATCATGTCTACCTATTTCTCTATTCATTTTATTATATTTACCTGTTTCAATATTAATTTTACCATATATTAAAATAACTTCGTGAATATCAATATTACCAGGATGAAATATATACTGTTATATAGTCAAGAACAAGGTCTTTCATTCTATTTTAGAAATACCTTAGTAGAAAATTGTTTTATGTTTATAATTCACAAGTGAATTTGAAAAATATAAAAAATCCTTCAAAATAAATGAAAATATTTCAAAGGTTAATGTCTAAAAAAATTTACTGATGATCTTAAAAATAAAAATAAATCTTAAAAATAAGAATGGATCCTAAAAATAAAAACAGATCTTAAAAATAAGAATTATCCTAATTAATTATAAATATTTAAAGATAAGGAATTATAATTTGAATTTGATCAAGAAAATTTGAATCTAATTCAGATTGTATTTTGAATACTATAACTAATAACAATGGTCAATTGTTATTGATTTTTAACTAATCTATAGTATAGAAATTATTATTTGGTACAGTGATTTTTTTGTATGATTTGTAATTTACTCAATAATCAATTATTCCTGAATAATTAAATTTTGTTATTACAAGTATTTTAAGTACTTAACAGATATCTAATAATTTTATAATTCAAAATTAATTGGTTATCTTTAAATAATAACTTGACAAATGTTAACTTTTGATAAAATATAGTTTACTTAAATATATCATTTGTTCTTAACAAAACTGTTGTAAATTATGAAAATAAAATAAAAAAATATAAAATCTATTTCACTTGAAAAGATTTAAAAAAAAATATAAAATAATTAATGATTTTTTAGTAATAGTAATATTGTAAATATTTGTATTTATATTTAAGTTTGTAATAGTTTTTTACTTTATACATGTTTCTTTTTATTTTTATATATCTCATTTTTCTTATTTTGATGAATTTTGATAAATAATTGATAAGTTCTAAGTAATAGTAAAATCAATAAGATAATCTAATTAATGTAGTACTAATTTAATTTATTTATTTTTATTATTTTATTATTTTATTTTATATACTTATAATGTATATAATGACTTTATAACTTTTTTGAAGTTGGAACTTGTTCTAAGTAAAACTTATACTGATCAAAAATTTAAAAATCCTATACACACATTAGGTATCAGATAAGTATAGTATTTGTTTCTAATATATATCTAATATTGAAAATAAATACTATACTTATCTAGTACTTGATATGTATATAGGATTTTTAAGTTTTTGACCAATGTTACATTATTTAATACTCTAGATAAAATCTATTAATTATGCTTTGAATTAAGTATTTATTAATTTGAATTAAGAAGATTCCTACAAGTAATAATTACATTAAGTACAAATATTTACTCAAAACTTAAAATCCAATTATATGAAATTGTTCACTTAGAAAATATTTTGATTTTGAATTTTCAAGAAAAGATAAATTACACTAGTTAAATACAAAAGAATTGTTATACCAAATGGTGATTCCTATATTAAAAATCAGAATTCTTATATTATAGACTAGTTAAAAATCAATAATCCTATTACATCCTATATTATAAATCAGCTAAAATCAGAATTCCTTTTTAGTCTACCTATTCTTTTGTATTTGTCCTGTATTAATTATAACTAATAACAATTAACTAATACACATTCATCAAAAATAAAATATTTATTTATTTTTATACTGTATCAAAAATAAAATAAATTATATATGATTAATAATAGTTGTGTCAAATTTTGTTAAGATAGTGTGTTAGATAAAACAATAGCACATTAGTGTAATTTTTACTCTAAAGAATTTGAATAACTTGAAAAAAGACTGGAAATATAATTTTTGTTCTAAATTAAAAGTTTAAACAAATAATATCTTATATAAAACAATGACATATAAGCAATTCAAAATTGATTTTCTGGAATAACAGAATTTCAAACTTGTGGCTGAAACTACTGAACTTAAGAGGGAGAAAGCTAAATTTTTAACTAAAGAGGATTTATAGTTACAGTACAGAACCTCTAAGATAGAAACTTGGAAAATCTTAAATTTAATTTCTAGATTAAATTGTTACACGAAAATAACGAAAATATTAATCTGAAAATTAGTGTAACCCTGACAGCTAATCGCACGTTGTAAATCTATTATCATCAGTCATTCAGTCATGGATTATCTCAATTTTGTAATTTTTGATATATTGCAATATTGCAGTAATGTTCCGTATAGTTAATCGGCTTAACCAAATTACCTTGCGGAATGCTAGTTACCGAAGTGCCTCTACAACTTCGGTTTCTTCGATTTCTAATATAGAAAAACAATGGAAATCGTTTACTACCGAAGAACAACAAAGCCTGACAAAACAAATCGAAGAACTTCAAAAACAAGACTGGAATAAATTATCTCTTGAAGAAAAAAAAACTGGTAGACACAATTGGCCTTTTACTGTTTATTTAAAAGTAGCATAAATTCGCTCTCTTTAAATATATAAGTTACATTTGTTCGACCGCTATTTAGCTTATTACATTTCTTTTGGTCCTCATGGTCCGAGAGAACCATATCTCAAACCGGGCCATACAAATAAATTGATTGCTGGCATTACTGGAGTTGTTGTCATTTCTTTTGGATTATTTTATCTAGCTCATCGTGCAGGTAAATATGTAAATTTCAATAAATTTTATTAAATTTTTAAAAAATTTAATCATAAAATCTCTTTTTAAGTTCCTGACAAACCCCTGAGTATGAATAAGGAATGGCAAGAAGCCACTAATGAAAAACTGCGTAGACAAAATGCAAATCCTATAACTGGAATTTCATCAGCAGGATATAAAGGAAAAGGATATGTGCAATCGGAATAGATCTGAAAAAAAAACTTTACATATGTAGTTTATTTAATATTATGATTCTTAACTTTTGGTTTCTTTATTAAAGTCACATAAGAATCGTATTGAATCTTATTTAATATAAAATACAAAATTTTTAGTACCAAAACGTGCACATTACGTCGTTTTTATTTTTTTTTTCAATTATCACGAATCCATTTCTGGACAATCTCTGCGGATATGACCTTCCTATTTTTTTTTTCAGATATGAAAGTATTAGAGAAATTTGAATGACGAATGAAGTTGTGAACTAATAATATATTCGATGGCAGTTATAACCTTGCACTTCATTACATTCTCAACTAAGATGACCCGATCAACCACAATTATAACATTTTTGACCTTTGTGCAATCACTAATGGGAGAAAATATTATCACATTGCTGTTTAAGGTGATCGTGACCTAAAAATAGAGAGAATACAAATAATGACTTTTGAAATACCACCAGGTTTTATTATTTCCACATTACATTAAAATAATATAGAATAGTAAATAATTAATATTAACATACATGATGTTTTAATACAAATGGAGGTTCATATTTATGAAGATTATTCATGCGCATCCTTAAATTTTTATTGGTCAATACAAAATGATCGATGGGCCAATAAATTTACCAAAAAAAAAAATAAAACCAAAACTTCTAATTAAACTTTCTTCAACTCTCAAAAAGAAATATGGGAGTACCAGCCTTCTTTAGATATATTTCTAGAAAATATAAAAAAATCATAGAAGTTGTTTCAGACAATTGTTGTGACAACCTATACCTAGATGCAAATGGAATCGTTCACAATGCTACTCACCCCCAAGACAAGGTTTGTTTCAGATTCTTTTTGATTCCTTTACCTTACTTTTGATCTAATGTATGTTATATATATATAGCCGGCTCCCACCTCAGAAGATGAAATGATGATTGAGATTTTTAATTACATTGAAAGAATCATGTCGTCGGTGCGCCCCAAAAAATTACTTTATATCGCTATAGGTATTAAATAATATAAGATGCTTTAATTTTGCATTAATTTTTTTCATGGATTACAACAGTTCTTAAATTAATATTTGAATTTTCCAGATGGAGTTGCACCACGTGCTAAAATGAACCAACAACGATCTCGTCGGTTCAGGACGGCACGTGAAGAAAAAGATAAATTAAAAGGTAATGCATTTTTTTTAGGATAATTTTATGAATGGTTCTCAAAAAAATATTTAACTTGAATTTTATTTATTTATTTTAGAATCCAGTGATCCTGATACCTTAGAATTGATGCAGGCAAAAAGGTTCGACAGCAATTGTATTACACCAGGTAAATATTATCAATTATTATTTTTTTTTTAACACAAAAAATACAAATACAATTGAAATTTTTTAGATTTAAAATGAATTCCAATTAATTGTAATGTGAATAATTTTAGGTACACCATTTATGACAAACTTGGCAAAATGTTTAAGATATTGGGTTGCAGAAAACCTCAACTCGGATCCTGAATGGAGAAATGTATGTTTAAATTTAAGTTTAGGTTAAATTTCATTCACCTCATCAATTTCATCAACCTCATCAATCTTATCAATACTCACCGATATTAACAACATTTCTTTTATTTATTTTTTTTTAATAATAGCTAAAAGTTATACTATCAGATTCAAGCGTCCCTGGTGAAGGTGAACATAAAATAATGGATTTCATTCGTTCTCAAAGAACTAGTATTCACCATGATCCTAATACCCGACATATTATATATGGATTGGTTTGTGTTACAAATTTTATTTATTTATTTATTTTTTTATTTATTTTTTTGTAAGCCGAAATTTGGTTAAATCAATTTTAAATTTATATTGATATGTATTTGTCTATATTAGGATGCAGATTTGATCATGCTCTCTCTTGGAACTCATGAACCACATTTTAAGGTTTTACGTGAAGATGTTTTTGGTAATAATGAAGGTACCTATAAAGCTTGTTTATTTATTTTAAAATAATTTATATTCATTGTTGCAAAAATTTTTTAAATTTATTTATTATTATTAATCCAATTATGTTGCTTTTATATTCAATTGATTTCAATTATTTAAACCAAAGTATTACCCGAGAAACCTTTTATATTATTAAATGTAGAGGTAGTTCGTGAATACCTTACGATTGAGCTCAAAGTTGATAATCTTCCCTGGTCCTTTAACCTTGAAAATGCAATAGATGATTGGATTCTTCTTTGTTTTTTTGTTGGTAACGATTTCCTACCACATTTACCTTCATTGGAAATAAGAGAAGGTGCAATTGACTCGTTAATATCTATATGGAAACGTTGTCTTCCTTTAATGGGAGGGTATATTACAGATAATGGGAATGTGAGTTCATGACACCGTAATAATTTTTTAAAAAAATTCAGTAAATATACGCATCTTTCTGTTTGTAAAAAAAAAAACGAAAGCCTAATTATTTTATATTAAATTAGGTAAACCTAAAGAGATTACAGTATTTAGTTACGGAGTTGGGTAAAATGGAGGATGAAGTATTTATTCGTAGACATGAATGTAAGTTTAAGGCTAATAATAGTTATTTATTTTTAATCATAATAATTATTTAATTATTATTATTATCTTAAAATGTTTAATTAAAAATTAATTAATTTCATAAATATCATATAGTTGAAAATAGATCGAAACGAAGAAAGATCAGAAATGTAGATTCCATAACAATAAATAATTCAATTTCAGATAATTCATGTGACACAAAACCAAGCCAAGAATCTATTGAATCTATTATCACGGAAGAAAAGACAATCGAAACTGAAGAAATTCAAAAATCTATTGAATCTACCGAGTCAATTGTTTCTGTAACAAATACTCAAGTAGAGACCGAGACATCAAATTCATCAAATCCAACAGGTGTTAAAAGGAAATCAGATTCAATAGATTTAGAAGAGAATACTGATAATGAAGATCCTGTTAGGTATGTTCAGTTTAATCAGTTTAATCAGTTTAAATCGATATATATATATATATTTTTAATAATGACATTATATAAAATTCCATAACATTATATTACATTCCATAACATTATATTATATTAAATTCATATTTTTAATTCCATAATTTCAGGTTATGGGAACCTGGATTCAAAGAAAGATATTATAAAGATAAATTTGATATTGAATTATCTAATCATCAATTTCGTGCAGAGTAAGTTCATATTTCTAAATATGACGTGACTTTACATGGAATTATTCTCTATGTTTAAGCGTTTTTATTTATTTATTTATATAGTTTAGTAAAGAGTTATGTCGAGGGTATCTGTTGGGTTATGCAATATTATTTTCAGGTATAGTTTTATTTATTTATTTCTTTCTTTCTTTCTTTCTTATTACATTATTAGAGAATTCACTTTATTATTTTCACATATATATTTTATTTTCTTTAAAATTTAGGGTGTTCCATCCTGGAAATGGTATTATCCATATCATTACTCACCTTTTGCCTCAGATTTCACAGATATTGGAGATATCGAAATTGATTTTAAATTAGGCGAACCATTTAAACCCTTTGAACAGTTGATGGGCGTATTGCCAGCTGACAGGTATAAAAATCTGAAATTTATTTATTTATATGATATATTTTATTTATTTATTTGTATATATTTAATATTTAATATTTATATATTTTATCATTTGTGATCATTCATATAATAGTAAAGAAAGTTTGCCCGAACAATTTCATGTACTTATGGAATCGGAGGATAGTGAAATAATTGATTTTTATCCTACCGATTTCAGAATTGATTTGAATGGGAAAAAGTTTTCATGGCAAGGTAATAATAATAATAATGATGATGATGGTGATAATTATAATAATTATAACAACAATCTCAATATTAATAATATAAATTCTTTAAAAGGCGTAGTATTACTTCCATTTATTGATGAATCACGATTATTGAAAGCCGTTAATTCTGTATATCCAACTCTTGGGGAAGAAGAAACTGCTCGAAATACTTTTGGATCCGAGGTTCTCTGTTTAAGCAGTAGACATAAATTATATGATAAATTATGTACTTTATATTCAAAAAGAAAGATTGATCATGTAAATATAAATTCAAATAATTTAAATAAATTTAATTTATTATTTATTATTATTTATTATTATTATTATTATTATTATTATTATACTAATTCTTTAATTCATTATTATTTATTATTATTATTATTATTATTATACTAATTCTTTAATTCATTTTTTTAGCCTATTCCACTAGATCCCAAAATCAGTGATCAGTTAATTGGATATGTTGCACATGATCGCAATTGTATACCGGAAAGTACTTTTTCTTCGCCCTTACCCCAAAAAAAACCTGATATTGTTAACGATAAATCGTTAAGGTGAATGTTTTGTTTTTTTTAAGTCCTCACTTATGGGTTGTTATTGGTTGTACAAGAAAGTGCAAGTTTGAAATATAACCATTTATTTTTTATATTTATTATTTTATTCATTATTTATTTTTAGTGTTTTATATTATCCTCCTGTGAAAACAAAAAGCACTTTGCACAAGTCTGTCCTCTTAGAAAATGTTAAATTAGATCCGCCAGTTTTAGGTCGTGAAGATTATGAATTTGTTAAAAATGGTGGACGAGGATCAGGAGGGAGTAGAGGTCCTAGATATGAGAGACCTTCATATAACACAAATTATTCTTATTCGAGAGAACCACAATATGCAAATACACCAAATTATTATTCACATAATTCTTATAATTCTTCAACAGGATATTCTCATTCTTCTACACATAATTATAATGCAACGGGATATTCACATAATTCATATAATTCACATAATCCTTCAACGGGATATTCACATAATTCCACAACGGGATACAATGAAATAAATCCTCCTGGTGTTGGTCGCAATTATTCAAAGGGTTATAATTATGGCAATAAACAACAACATCACCAACATCATCAACATCAACAACATCAACAACATCAACATCATCAACATCATCAATATCAACATCAACCGCATCAACCGCATCAACAGAATCAACATCAACACCATCAGTCTACTAATCCAAATTATTCTAGACGACAACAACAACAACAACAACAGCAACAGTCTCAACAATATCCTCAAGGTCATCATCAGCATTACCCAAATCAACATTGGAATAATTAGAGATAATTTATTTTCATCTTTTTTAATTTAGGAATGACCTTTTTTCATCTTAATCATTTCATTTTACAAAAGATAATTTGAACCTTTTATACTAATAGTTAACTCTTTTTTTTAGTGTGGTTAAATCTTTATTTATTTATTTTTTTAAGTTTATTTCTTTATATAATACATATATGTATATATATTATTGAATATTACATGTTTCCAAGTTTGCATAATTGTAAATTTTTTTACTGACAATTTATAATATTTTAATTGTATATATGTATTTTTGTTAAATAAAGAAAATCTGAATTTTTTTTATATAAATTAATAAAGACTTAATACAAGATTTATAATAAAATTATAATTAAATATTCTAAAATAAAAATAAATATTAAAGAAAGAAACTATGGTAAAGGAATATCAACTAACATTGTTATAGTGTTGCTTGAAATTATTTGACCCAACTCGAATTAGCTTTAGTTTGAATTTTACAAGAAATAGATAAGTTAAACTAAATCTATTCATCAATCTTTCCAATAAATGATTTAATGTGGTGTAGATGTGGAACATAAAAAATGTGGAATCACAAAAAGTGCCCAGTTCGCCACAAGACATAACTCGCCGTCATAAGAAATCCATCGCGAGACATACCCATTGTCACAAGAAAATTATTTAAGACAAATTCATCATAAGACTTTATCCATCGTTAAAAAAAAAATGGACTTAGAATGAATTATTCCCCACTTATAATAAAAAAAAGAATAACGAAATAT